ACGGACCGCCCCCCCCCCGGCTCTGCCCCTCCCCCGCTATGGAGGCCTAACCCCTCCCCGGATCAGCCCCCTCCCCCGTTACGGGAGTTTAACTCCCACCCTGGTATCGCCCCCCGCCCCCCGGGGCTTGATCCCCCTCCCCCGCTGTCGGGGCCATGGCATCTCTTGGGAACATGTCACACACACACACCTGCTATTAATGCCACCTCCCTGCTCGCTCGGTGTCGTTAACACACAGCCCACAAGCGGGGTCTAATCCCTCCCCACCCAGGTCTGAGAGGCCTCGGTGCTTCCCTTCAGATAACTCCCCTGGCCGAGGTTTCTGTCTGCAGGTACCTGTCTCCGGCCCACGGAAATGGGCAGGGGAAAGTCAGGGCTCCAGGAGGGTTAGGAAACAAAGTTCTTCCTCTCTGCACCATGCGGGCGTCCCACCTGTCTCAGACAGGGCAGCCCTGGGCTTCTGGTCCTGCTGGGCTGGGTGTACGCCAGGTCTTTCATCATCTTAGGTTTTTGCAGCAACGTAAGTGGAGACAAGGTCTCGGATTCAGCACTCCATGAAATGGCAGAACGTGCCCTCTCCTTTCCAAGGGTGGTCCACGCGCAGACTGGTGCTTTCTTAGATGGCACCAACAATGATGCTGAGTGTGTGAATAGCATAGATACTTCCCAGAAGCTCTGTGTAAGTATTAGCCAGTCCAACCCTCAGTGTCCCCACCGGTGAGGTAGCTACGGCGAGTGAGTGAATGTTCCCATTTTACAGATGAGGAAAGTGAGAGACAGACTGGGAGGGGGAAGTGACTTATCCATGGTCGGTGGCAGAGCCAGGACTACAATCCAAGTCCCCCTCACTAATCACTAGATCACAGTCTTCCATGGTAAATTGAACTGAATCCATGATTGTAAACATCATTGAGGGACTAATCTGTGTGACACTTGGTCCCAACATTTAATTTCTCTACTTAGGATTTCAAGTTCAGGTCTTTGTTACAGGGATTTGCTTCTAAGAGATGTGGAAAAAGAGGGGTTGGCTATTACTCTAATGAAAAACTGAGTAACTGCGGACCCTGGCAATATGTTTCCTTTTCTAAAAATGTCTGAGTTGTGAGTGGGCATGTCTTTCCCTGGTCCATGGAAGGGACCCTTCTGTATCTGTACAGTGTGTGTCCAATCATTTAAACTTTTCTGTGTCTTTGCTTTGCCATTCTAGAGCACTTTCACATTATTTTCCGAGACCTTTAAAAATGAATGAGTTGACCTTCATGAGCCTCCTATGAAATGGGTTGATATCACCATTCCCATTTTGCAGATGGGGAAACTGAGGTACAAAGGTGACCTATCAAATGCCAAACTAAGAATGGGCCCCAGGAGTTCTGTGGTTAAGGCACAGAATGTGTTCTTTCCTCATCTGTGAGAGGTGCTAGTTTGACCTGATTTTACAGCTCATGTGTTCCGCTTACATCCTCTGCTGTGGAAGGCACCGTGGAAGAATTTCTTCTTGCAATTCTAATATGGTTATTACTTCTTAAATGTTGTCAATGTATTTGGTTGGGGATGTTTCATACCTGACTGGTCCATTATACCAGCATTAATGAAGGAGCTGCTGTGGAAAAAGCTCACTTGCCATTTGCTAAATTGATTTGATATTTAAGTTTTGTAACGTGGTCGGTCTTGCGTTGCTTCTACCTGTGTTAACTTTCTCTAGTTCTGTATTAGCTTCCTTTCTTCTCCTCTTAGCTAGGCCAGTAAAGATAAGTGTAAGAGAACCCTTCCCCTCCCACCGATTTGTTGTGTAGTTGGTAGCTACACCAAGGGCAGTTGCGTGACAAATCTAAAAAGTGAACTTTGCCAGGAAACAGGCCAGAGGTCTCCACTGCTGGACAGCAACTGTTTATGTTCAGTGCTGGGATTGTGTGGCAAAGTTGAGCTAGGAGAAAAACAGCTACACTGTGCTTGAATGTGGCCGTCACGTTCTGGGGAGTCATAAAAACAAACCAACCATAGTTATTTCTGCCACGCCTGCTTCTCGGCTAGAGGATAAAGAACTAAGACAACATTCGGAGAGCCTGTCTAATTTTCTTTCATGTTAACCTAGCTGGTTATGGTTCCAGTACCTGCTTGCTGTGCATGTCCCCTGTGATGGGTTCTTGTGCTCTTTGTTTTTAAGGGAAAGGGACAAATGTTAAAACCGAGCAAGGGTCTCAGCGATTGGAAAGGCAGAAACTACTGCCTGTTCTTTCCTGTTAGGCTCCACGCCGCCTCAGTTCGTTCCCCTTCTGGAGCACCTTCCTTTTGTTGGTTCATGGCTGGAGCTGAGTTCCTTTTTCTTTGCAGCTGAGCTCCTGCAAGAAGCCAAGAGATGGAGCCCCCTGGCATGACGCTCATTGAAGGCTTGGGGGATGAAGTAACGGTGGTGACTGGCGTGGTGGTTCTTGTCCTGGCTCTGGTTCTGGCGTGGCTTTCCACGTACGTAGCAGATGGCAGCAACCAGCTTTTGGGAACTATTGTAGCGACGGGCGAATCCTCGGTGATCCATCTCAGCCACGTCGAACGGTATGTGGGGAATTCAGTAACCTCAGAGCCTACTGAGCCCCCGGGGTCGGCTGATAGTGCAGAAGAAAAGGCTGAAGAGGAAGGGGGTGCTGCATCCAACTTGGGCCCTGCAGTTGAGCAAGGGGGCAATGGTAGCACCTCTGACTCCAGCCTTGACCATCTGCTGAACATACAAAGCTTGCCCAAAAGGACATCCTCCAGCGAGTCCAGTGCCCTAGAACAGCCGGGTCAAGAGAGCCAAGGAACCTCGCAAATGTCACACATCCGGGAGGAGAGTGAACCATGCTCCGGGCTCATCAAAGTGCGTCTCAAGTTCCTCAATGACACCGAAGAGGTGGCCATGGTGAGACCGGAGGACACCGTGGGTGTTCTCAAGAGGTAAGTTCCATGTAAGAGGCAGCAAAGGGATTTTCAGTCTATGAGGCCCAGAGTTCAAGTGAGCAACCCTCCCCCAACAAGCACTGCCACAGGTTCTGTGGGGATTGTCCCTTTGTGTGTCTGTAGAGTGCCCAGTGGGGCCTCTAGGGCGGGAGTGTCCGATTAGAAATGTATAGCAACCATTAAATCTCTCTCTGGGATGTCTACCGACGTGCCCCTCACTGGTAAGTGATGGCTTGGACAAATTTGTCCCTTACTCTGTATAAATGTCGGTCTGTGCTATTACCTTTTATGGCCCTTTTCATCAGTACAGCTCAGTATCCTCATCCATATTTTTATCACCGGGGAAACAGGCACAGAAGGGGAAGTGACGTGCCCAAGGTCACCCAGCAACCCAGTGGCAGAGCTGGGATTAGAACCCAGCTTTCCTGAGTTCCACTCCAGTGCCCCACCCACTAGGCCCCAGGGGGAATGAACAGAACAGCTAATCATCAAGTGATCCATCCCCTGTCGCCCCTTTCCAGCTTCTGGCAAACAGAGGCTAGGGCCACTAGCCCTGCCCACCCTGGCTAATAGCCACTGATGGAGCTACCCTTCCTGAATCTATCTAGTTCTTTTATAAACCCTGTTATAGTCAAGAGGTAAATCCTAAACCCTAGGGGCTATAATGTGCTCTCTGGGACAAGGGCTGTCTTGCACAGGGGGGGGCTAATCTGAATTGGAGCCCAGTTGTTTGAACCCATTGTGAACTTGGTTTCGTTTTCAGTGGCAGCCGGACTTGGCAGGAGCAGTCAGCGGGGTGTGTAACTTCCCCACTCTGTAAACTTAAACTCCTCCTAGTTAGTAGTTGCTGATGCGGTTTGGGAAGGATGGTGAAATTGACCATTACTTACAGACTACATTTGAATCCTGTATCCTGAGGAGGTTTAACCTGGCTACATTGTTTGGGTTTTACACTAGTCTTGGCTGCGTTTAGGACTGGTTTTTAAAGCAGCTCTTCTAAACTTTGCCTCTTTCTGTTTTCCCGAAAAGCAAACATTTCCCAGGACAAGAAAATCAGATGAAGTTTATCTATCAGGGCCAGCTACTCCAGGACCAGGCACGGACCCTCCGCTCCCTCAATATCATGGACAACTGTGTGATCCATTGCCACCTGTCGCAGACCGCCGGCTCCCCCCTTCCCGACTCCGTGGTCACCCCAGCAGAAGCAGCAGGGGTCACGGTGAACATAGGGAATCTAATGCTCCCTGTTTTCGTGGTGATGCTGGCTGTGATCTGGTACTGCCGCCTCAACTACCGCCAATTCTTCACTGCGCCGGCCACGGTCTCCTTGGTTGGGGTGACGGTCTTCTTCAGCTTCCTGGTTTTTGGGATGTACGGACGATAAGAGGCAAAGTTGGAGGGGTAGATTGGAACCCAGCATTTGTTTTATAGCTTGTTTTAAATGTGCTGTGACAAACGGTGTTAGGGAAACTGGCTGGGGGCCCAGGGAACCCCGTGCCGGCTCAAATACTAGAGAACCTTCTGTATCCAGCAATGTGGAAGAGAGACCCCTAGATTCACTGTTCGTTTCCTCACCTTGCTGCTGTTTAATGAGACTTTGTTCCTCCATAGAAGGGGACCGCTTTGCCGGGTGCTGCTTGCGTGCTCTAACCGACCTGTGTCACTTATGTCATGAGACGAATCCTCACTCCCAAGGCGCTGCTGCAACTCCTCTCAGGTAGAGATGAGGAAAGGGACCTTCTGTCGCTTGTCTCATGAACATCTTTCAAATAGCCTCAGCATATGTACTCTGAGCTTGGCTCAGCTGCGGGAAGGAGTCCTCTAAAAAGAGCCACTTTCTAGCCTGGCAGAAAGCAACTCTGGCTTCATGGTTTGTCCTCTCTGCTGTAGGTGAATGGGCCCTGTTAGAATGCAGCTGCTGTAGGTGTGCATGCTCAGGCTTGCTTTAGGATAGGCCAAACTCCCAAGAACGGACTCCGTGGGGATGAGACAGCATGTTGCCCTGCATGGTACTTCTCTGTCACTTTGCCACTCCTGCAAGAGGCTAGGGGCTGGCTCGCTCAGCACGTGAGTGCAGCGTGTGTGCACTCCACGAGGGCCTAAGCCCTAAAAGCCCCTTTCAGGGGTATAGGGCTGTCCGGCACCTCCTCCCTGCTTGAGCAGGCTTGCTTTGTATTGAACGTGCTAATTCTAAAGACCAAATATTCTCACTGGCACCTGGTGCAAAGGGGAGGGAACTATTTTTGAAGGAATTCTTTTTAAATAGAAGGTTGCAACTTCTGCTGAGTGCTCTTCCCCACCGGGGGGGAGGAGTCTAGACTTGTGCCTATCCCAGACATTTTGAGACAAATGTTTAACTTTCTTTAGAGCACTTTCCTCCCCGCCCTTGTTTTCTAGGAATGCATTTCTAAAGACAGGCCCTACAGTGGATTTTGTTGAAAGTCAGATAATGAACCTGTTGAAAGTTGCCCCTGGTGGTTGAAGGCTGATTTTTATTTTGCACGGGGGCAGAAGAGAAACTGCCTGCACGCACAGGAGTGCGAGAAGTATGAACGTGTAAGGAACTCAAAGCTCTGAGAAGCAGTAGGGGGAAGTAGGCCTACAGGAGCCATGCAGCTGAGGCCTTGCCTACAGCGGGAACTTGACCAGAATAGCTAAACCTGAATAAGCTATTCTGAAATAGCTCCCCCCTGTGAACACTTCTAGGACAAGTCTATGCTACTGCACTGCATTGGCACAGCAGCACATCTGGAGAAGACACGCTATGCCAACAGGACAGCGTTCTCCCATCAGCATAATTACTCAGTCACCGCGAGAAACAGAAGCTACATCTCCCACCAACAGCGTGCGGGGTGGAGAGTGCTTAAGTTAATGTAACTCATGTTGCTTTGGGGGTTCGGGGGGGGAGGAGGTATCTTTTTCACACCCTTGAGCGATTTAAGTTACATTGACTTACAGCTTTAGTGTAGACCAGTCTCTCAAATGTCTTTAATTCCAGAATTACTGTTTTGTGAGGGGAATGATTATTCCAGAACAGAGTATCCAGCTGGAGGGTTATTCCAGGGAGTTCAGTTTCTCCCCTAGACAAGGGCTGAGAGAAGGGGTGCCCCGTAAGCAGCACCCCTTCCCCCCAAAACACATTGGGCACAATTGAACAGGGAGGAAAGTGCTTATGTTCTGCTTCCTGAGTGAGAATTAGCCATATTAGCATAATCAGATTCCCAGCAGGGCTTTTACCAGGATAACAATCTTGGTACAAAACCCACACCCTTACCTGAAGTAGTTCTACTAGTGCAAAAAGCCTTTAGGGCAGGCCTCCATCCTTGTGCGATGGTCACAGGCGGGAGATTGGCTTCTGCTCGAAAAATCACAAGCAGCCAGTCTCTCAGGTCTCAGTGCATGACGAAAGGGTACAGTTGCATTCTTTCCCCCCTGACTGTCCCTTCCAGTCCAGTTTGTGTGGCAGCTTCCACCTCTTGCAGCCAAACTCTCATGCAGAATAACAGGTAGAGAAACTCTTGGGGGAGTGGCTTGAATTAAAAAAAACAAACCCCACAGCTCTTATAACCATTACCACTTCCCCCCGCAGCTGTAGTTCTAGTCAGAAGGGGAGACAGCTGCACGTTAATGACATGATACAGACAAGAGGCTTTGATACCAAGTCAAGATGCATTTTATTTACAGGGGCAGCCACAATCCACTAATGGGAATACACAGATTTTACAAAGTTGGAACTACCTGTACAGGATGGATTACATATGCAAAAATAAAAATTTCAAGACCACAGTACAGTACTTACCCCACCTTCCCCCATGTGATCACCACCTGTGTCGTTTCCCACACCCTGAGAGTTGTGTTGAGGGACACAACTGGGAAGTCCCAGGTGCAGGTTTTTTATATCATTACCAATTAAAACCCTCCTCATGACCAGGATCATGATAGAATGCAGGGTTTCAAGTGAAGCAGGCTTACCTTAAAAATAAAAAAAGGGGGGGGGGAATGATACAGAGCCTGTGATTAAGGAAAAAATCCAACAAGCAGCCTGGATCAGTCTCTCGGTAGCTGCATGTAAAACTCGAATGCAGCTGCGCTTCCCATCAGCAGCTACAGTACAGGGTCCAGCCTGGGCTCCTTTGGGTTGTTTTCTCTTGGGCCTTGCTTTCTGAAGTTGCAAGACTCAAGTTGTTACCACCGTCCTGTCCACAATGTTCCGGTACCTCCATGGGAGCCACTTAGGCAGTGTACTTTATCATCAAACTGAGGAGGTAGACGACCAGCCACGCTTAGAACTACCACGGTCCTCCTCCGCAGGAGGGATTTTAGTCCCACCAATTCCCCGAGTTAAGCAGGGTATTTTAATATGCTGTGCAGGACAAAGACATTAACCCTCCGCTATCCACTTGCCTTCTACACACTGTGCTGTAGTGACCCACATGACCCACATTCACTGGTCAGCAACAAGCAGTTGAAGCCCAGAGGGAAAAGCCTGCTTCGTCCTGTTCCAGACCCCGCTGCCCATGTGTTATTACAGCCGAGTGGACTTCCTTCCTTCCCCAGAAAGATCTAGATCAACATCCAACACACACACTGGCGCTGCAAGAGAGCGGTCCAGGCCTGGGCCCTCCAGGTTCTATTGTTCCTACTGTTGACAAGCCCAGATGCCATGGGAATGATCCTTTTAGGACTCCCGGCTTGGGGCGAACGACAGCTTCCCGAGCTGCTTGGTTCAGAACTGCAGGTAGGAGCCCCATGCAGCTATGCCCCAGAGCTAGCAGCATCGCTTCCACTCGAAACCACAGCAGTGCGAGGAGCCTGCAGCTACGTCGACTGGAAAGACATGTAAAGAGACGTCAACTACATCCAGAGAGAGCGCAGACACCCCGTGCAGGTAGGGGAAGGGCACAGCTTAAAATGACCACAAGCCAGGAGTCAAACTGGAGATTGCGGCCGAGTGTCTCCCTGGCTTGGAGCTGGAGAAGCGGCATAGCTCAAAGGGAGGGAGGGATACACTGTTCCCTTGTACAAGCCGCAAACGAGGTGCAGTGATCACCTCCACTAAGACTAGCCACCTGGATGAGAGCCGGCTGTAGGGGACAACTCAATCCCACGCACTTGCAAAGCAGTTCATAGGGACACACTCACAGGCAACCCTGTCATTCTAAAGCTCTGAGGCCCCCGGCTGATCCTGGCACACCCTGTCCAAGGGGGCGTTGGACTCACTAGCAGAGGGCACCGCAGGTCAGTGCCCAGTCTACCGGGTCAAATGCTTGTGCATGCAACACCTGCCTCCAGCTCACACCCTGAATCTCTGCCACCCCTTACATAAATTCATCCACCATTCAAGACTATCATGATTCTTAACCTAGATTAAAAACTAGACTCCCTCCCTCCCCAAAGAAGGGCATGGGATGAAGAGGCAACTTGTGATTAACCTACCTGCACCCAAGCCCAAATGGACACCTAACTTGGGGGGGGACTCCTCTCCCTTAAAGATACACGTCCTCTTCCCCAGAGGCCTATTCTCTGCAACCAGAGCCTTCCTTCGAAAAATGTAGTGGCAGGAGTTTAGGAGACAGACAAGGGAGCCCAGGTCAGAGTCTAGCTCAGAACAAAGGTTTCCTAGGGTCAGACAGGTGCATTTCACAAGCTACCTTAGACAGGGAATCAGCAAGGCTGTGGGAAGCAGGACATTTGTACTACGGGACTCCGTTCATATTTGCCAGCCAGCAGAGCCGCTGATCGGGGTTTAGCCATTTTCACCTTTCTGTGATGAGGCCCGTGGCAATCTGGAGCAGACGTTCTGGGCCACTTACAGCCGATCGGAGGCTGTACTGGCGAGCCAAGACAAAAGGTGCATGGGAAAGGCTGGGTCTGCACATCCCCACCCTTCGCAGGAACAGAAGGAAGGTGTAGCAATACCAGAACCACACTGGGCGGAGCACGCACCTATGCGGACCGCTGGCCGCCTCTGATTGCAGCCGAGGCACACGGCCCCGTGCCACACACATTTGCTGAGTGTCAGAGGTGCCTCCCTCCACTCCCCCTCTGAGAGTGGCCCCCTGGTTTTAATCTAGGGGTGTGCACCGGGCCTGTAACATCAAGATGCAGCCCCCACCGTGACCAAGCCGCTAGCTCGGCATGAAAGCTCTGCTCAAAAGGATGCCTTTGGGTTCCTGCCCTTTCATTGAGGGCACCCCACAGACCCCTCCAGCGCAGAGCAGAGCTGCACGCACGAGAGGGCTGGCCGAGAGCCACGGCTCCAACGGGAAACCAAAGGAGAAACCTGGAGGTTTTCAGATGCTGATGGGACCTGCAAGGCATCCGGCTACAGCCTCGCTCACACTCAAGCGTCCAACAGACGCTGCCACCTGCAGGCCAGACAGGTTCTCTGTGAGCAGGCCCACAGCAACGCTGGTCACCATTAGCAAAAGGCTCAGAAACCGACCACCACTTGAATTCTTCCCCCGACCGCAAAAAAAATCCGCCGGCTCACATCGCAGAAAGGCCTAGAAGAAATAAACGCAGCCGGCTCGGGGCTCAGTTCCCCGGGAGGTTTGTTCTGCACACACGGGCAGCACGGCCCAGCTGGCTGAAAGTTGCAGAGATGGAAAATTCAAGACAAGACAGGAGAAGAGCCACGAGCCCAACAGGAGACGCCCAGTCGGGGTCTAGTTCCTGGTGACAAGAAGCCCCAGGAAGATCAGAAGCCCAGAGGGGCCACCCAGGGATGAGAGGAAAATAAAGACACCTTGAAAATTGAAGCATTCGATTTTCCAAGTCAGCAGGAAGCACCATGTGTCCTTGGAGGGGGAAGGGGGTCCTGCCCCGAAAATGGGGCCTGGGCCACGCTTAGCCCGTTGAGTGTGTAGGGTAAGGAGCTCGTCTCTAGCAAAGAGCAGCCCAAGCAACGTGATTCAGTGGGCACGCACTCGTCCCTTCCGAAAGCTCAAGGGGAGGGGAGATGGGAGGCGGGGAAGGGGCTAGTAAGCTCTCCCCCAGTGGGGGATCTCCCCCCAGTTTGTTTTTAAAGCAGTGAATCGTTCCAGCACCAACCTCGCTGCTCAGAGACCCGGGCCGTGCGGCGAGCAAGAACACTGGCCCGGCAAAGAGCCCAGCAAGGCTGTGTCACGGGCCCAGCTGCCGCTTTTCACCGTAGCAGCGGCAGGAGGGTCCCAGCCAGCAGCTCCCTCCAGTCCCAGGGTACGACCGGAGTCCCAGGGCAACACTAGGCAAGGCAGAGCACAGCGATGGGACCCCCTGCCCCACAGCAGGCGTGTACACCCCCTACAGTACAGCAGCCTCGCCCCCCCC